TTTAATGTTGACCCCTTTCTGCACCTTCTCAGCAGTTGTGACCCTGTATCCTGCACTCTGTTCTCTTACCCTAATGCACTTGTACAGTACAATCTTTCTGTAAAGCACATAAGACAACACTTTTCACTGGACCTCAGTACTCATGACAGTAATAAATCAAATAAAACCAAATCAAAATTAATGAGGGTGCCTGGCTTGTGACCAGCCAAAATTGAGAAGGCTCATTAAGGAAGACCACAGACACATCAAGAGAATTAATTGGGAATGTGCAGGAATGAGGTTGAGGCATCAAAAGAAGTGCACAAGCCTCCAAACAACTCATCTACCCAGCCCTTCAAGCATTACCTGACATGCATGTGGCAAAGTCTGCAACTCACACATTGGATTTAGAGATATCTTAGGACCCAATGAGTGGAAGCAGGTAATCCATGATTCTGAGGGGTTGCCCTTCTATATGAAGGATGTTGTTAAACCTGATAGAGTGCAGAAAAAATTTACAAGCATATGGATCTGGAAGGTTGGGGTTATAGTGAGAGACTGAATGGGTTCGGGCATTTTTCCCTGGAGTGTTGGAAGCAGAGGGGTGATCTTATGAGGGGCATTGATAGGGTGAATATCCATGGTCTTTGTAATTGGGCGGGGGTATCCAAAACTAGAGGGCACAGGTTTAAGGTGAGAAGGGATACATTTTCATGCAGAGGGTGGTGCGTATATGGAATGAGTTGGTAGAGGAAGTAGTGGAAGTGGATACAATTACAACATTTAAAAGACATCTGGATGGGTATATGGATAGGAAGGGTTTAGAGGGATATGGACCAAATGCTGGCAAATTGGATTAGATCAAATTGGGATGTCTGGTCGGCACAGATGAGTTGGACTGAACAGTCTGTTTTCTTGCTGTGTGACTCCACGATTCTATGTTTGTCTGAGAAAAAGGATAGAACTAGGGAGAAATAGAAGATTGCAACATTGATTTCCAATGTCAGGTGGGACAAGAATGACAATTCCTAAATGTGTTGGGGTAGGGAAAGGCAGGGGTGGTGTGTACACCCTGGATTTATTTTACTGATTGGCTGTCCTGTTTATAGAAATCAGTTATAAGAACATGCGAAATAGGAGCGGGAGTTGACCATATGGTCTTTCAAGTCTGCTCTGTCATTGAATTGCTGAACTTCTACCTGAATTCATTTCCTTTCTTATCCGCTACATATTTACCCCAATTGTGATACATAATGGTTTTGTTAAAAAAAAATATTGTGGTAACAAGTGCCTAATTTTAATGATGATACAAATGGATAAAGACATCATGATTCATATCATAGTTGAAGACAATATATTGCAAAATGCAGGTCTCCTTAATTTACAGGAGAAAAGTAAATTGCATACTGTACTTTGTATTTTGTATTAAATCCACAGATCATATGTTGTCAAGTTGGGTTTATAAAGTAGGAGACTGGGCTATCTCAGAGTCTATTCATTTGCCTTCTTAATTACAGAAAGGTGATTTTTCTTCTTTGTTAATTCCATTGCATGCTTACTTTTGTTGGGTTGTGACAAAAGGTGATAGCAACGAATAGTGATAGTTGATCACTAGGCACTAATAGGTCTAGTAAACTTCCAGTTTAGGGGTAGTAGGAACTGCCGATGCTGGAGAATTTGAGACAACAAGATGTGGAGCTGGATGTAGAGCTGCTGTGTCTCAAACTTCCAGTTTAATTCGTTACTGCCTTATCTTGTTGACGCCTATGGTCCTTGTTAGGTACAGTTCCGAAGATTGTGGTGACTCCAAAATACCTCTTTATATGTGAGTCTAAACACTGATATCAGCGAACTGTATGCTCACAGATAGATAAGTGAGGCTGAACTTGACATTCATATTTACAGGCAGCTGTGAGATTTTGATCTGGATCATAAAGTTTTTACTTCAAAAAAGTAAGACTTTGGGTTGAAGCAAAAATATAAAATGCTGGAAATATTCAGCAATTGAGTCAGTAAGCGTGAAGAGACAAGCAGAATTAATATTTAATGTTGATAACCATTTGTCCACTCGTAGCTCAGCTAACTCTTTGAAGGCTCCACGGATTTCTAGTGGGGAGGGAAGGAACCAGAAGGAAGCCTGTTCTCTAAAGGGATGCAAGATAATGACTGAATTGTGCCGAGCGAGGAAAACAAAGAACACGGGAGAACTCTGCGCTGAAACGCTTTCGCTTTGCGGAATTTCTTGCTTTGTTTGTTTCACTATAAGGGTCTCTTTCATTGGCTGTCAGTGGAAGACGGGGTGTTATGACAGTGTTAATTGGCCATGGGCTGCTGCCGCCCAGCTCTAATTCCCCCGTGTTCCACCCCCCCCACCCTTTTGACTGTCACCCACTTAGTGGGGGGTTAAACCTGGGCTCCATCAGGGTGCATTTTCACTTTGGGCTCAAATTTTGCAACCGATCGGCGGAAATGCTGTGCTTTCCTGCCCTGTCCTATCCGGCTGGAGATTAAAAAGAGCAACCAATGGTGAAAAGCAAACATTCTCTCGCGTTTGTTGCGGAAAGCACAAGTTTCCGTTCGTTTTGCACGGAGGGATTTGATGCAAAGTTTTTTCTTTCACCTCACAATCGTTGTTCTGTAATCCAGCCGAGCACGTTATTTGCAAAAACAAACTCTCAAACATTCAGAAAAAAAATTAAAAAGTTATTTGCATTGCGCGAAAAACAATTTTCTTTTGCATTTTACTCGTTCATACGTGATATAAGCAACAGCGTTGTCATGGTCATAGAGTCTACAGCACAGAACAAGACTATTCGACACATCTTGTCTGTGTCCGTCAAAAACAAACACCTAACTACTCTAATCCCATTTTTCAGCTCACGGCCCATAGCACTGCATGCCTTGCCATCGCAAATGCACATCTAAAGCCTTCTTAAATGTTAAGAGTTTCTGCCTCTACCACACTGATAAGCATTGAGCTCTACATTCCTTCAGTTTTCTGTGTGAAAAAGATTTTCCTCACATCTCTAAATCTTCTACCCCTTAGCTCAGATCTATGCCCCTTCTTCATTGATCCCTTCATTAAGGGGAAAGGTCTCTTCCTGAATACTCTTATGTCCCTCATAATTTTATAAATCTCAATCAGGTCCACGCTCATTCTCCTTGCTCTTATCTTATTGAATTTTTTAAGGTATTTTTGATATACATATATATGACTGTATTTTGGGTATTTCCAAGGCTTTGTTAAATACACAACTTTACCATTTTTATTTTGCATTTAAATCATTTGTGTTAAATGGCATAAGACTACATTGCTTTTGCTTGCATTTTGCAAGGTTTTGTTAAACATTAGATTTTACAAATTTTTTCATGAATATATAAATTTGCAGGTATCCATTTGTAAAACTTCTTTGAAAATTCATTTCACTAGTTAAATATAAAACATTGCATTAATAAAAATATATTCAGCAGGTTTGGCAGCATCTGTGGAGAGAAAATCTGAGTTAACATTCAAGTTGAATCTAACTACCAGAATCCACAGTATTTTGCTTTTATAATAGGTTTTTCTTCCTTCACTTCTTACAAATCTGTTAGATATATAACACATAAACATTGCAGTATTTTTCTTTTGCTTAAAAATCCCTTACCTATATAAAACATTTTTGTTCTTTTTTATGAGCTTTAGTTGATATATAACAAAACAGAAATTGCTGGAAAAACTCAGAAGGGTCGACTGAAAACTTGAATTCTGATTTCTCTCCACAGATGCTGCCAGACCTGCTGAGCTTTTCCAGCAATTTCTGTTTTAGTTTCTGATTTACAGCATCTGAAGTTTTTTTTCCTTAGTTTATATATATTTGTCTTTCAACTTTTACAAATTTATATTAGATCAAATGTTGGATTTGTTTTTATGAGTTTTTGCTTATGTGTATTTTCTTTTACATTCTATAAGTTTGTTATATATACGAACAGAAGTAGGTCAACTAAGTGTTCCACCACTCATTTAAAGGTTGTGGTTGATCATTTAACTCCACATCCCTTTACTCCATGGTACAGTATGGAGCCAAAATCCACAAAAGACCACAGCCATATCTATGCAATAGGGAGAATTAGCTTGGGGGTAACCACCTGAAAGTGCAGAATGAGAAGCCAAGTCTCCATGACCTTCATCCAGTGTTGGGATTGAACCTCTACTGGTGACTTTATTCTGCACCACATTTTAATGTACAAAATGTTGCATTTCTATCTTGTTTTACGTTCCCACGTTTTGCTGATAGATTTTTCTTTCACAATTTACAACTGTGTAAGATATGCAATGTATAAAACATTGTATTGTTTTTCTTCTGTTGCATTTTCCCACTGTTTGCTTATATTTTGTATCGCATTCAACAAATTTCTGTTAGATACACCACAACAGAAGCATTGCACTTTTTTGGGTAATGAGCCGTTGTGTTTTTTTTCTTATAAATATATATAGGCTTTGGCATTTTACAAATTGATGTTTGCAGTAAAAAAAATTGCTGGTTGTGTTTTGCGAGCTTGGGTGTGGGATTGTGACAGGGCCGGAGTTCCGGGGTTGCTGCTCGTGCCAGGTCCCGGGAGGCGGCGCGCGCGAGGTGCTGGTGGCGGTGAAGAGTGGGGGGGGGGGGGGGAATCACGTGACCAGTTGACTGGTTGACAAAAATGGCGGCGATCCCCGAATACAACATGGATGCCGGAAGGTTGGAGTGAAGCAGGGGGCGACGGACGAGAAGGAGGAGGAGGGGGAATAGAGAGAGGGGGTAAAAAAGGGAAAACAAAATAACAATAAACACCTCGAGGCTCGGCGCCTCCCGCCCGGCATCTGCGGAAAAGGGAGGCGGGAAAGAGAGTCTCTGAAAATAATAATAATAATAAATCCAAATCTTTCTTTGCCCCTTTGGGGTGGGAGGGTTGAGGTGGTTTTGAGGGGAAGGTGAAGGAGGCAAAGGGGGGGTTAAAATAAAGTGAGGCGGAGCTGGAGGGGGGGGGGGGGAATCACCATGAGAGGAAGGCGAGGTAGGCCGCCCAAGACGCTCGATGCTTCGCCGGCGGGAGGTGGCGGGGGACCGGCCGGCAGTCTGAGGTACCGGGCCACCGGGGTCGGCAGAGGCAGAGGGGCAGACCGGAGGCTGAATCACGCCGAAGCTGGCGGTAGAGGGAGCCGGACCTCGAGAGGCGGCAAGGCGGGGAACCGGGGCAGGGCCAAGGCCGCGGCTCAGCAGCAACGGCAAGGCAGCCGCTCCCGCAGGCTGACCGTCAACAAAGTCATCTACGACGACCACGAGAGTGAGGAGGAAGATGAGAGTCTGGTGTCCGAGGAAGACGACGACGACGACGAGGACGAGCGGGAGAACGACGACGAGGACGAGCAAGATTCGGATTACCACCAGGCCACCGAGGAGGAGGAAGAGGACGACGAGGACGACGATGCTAGTTATTGCACAGAGAGCAGCTTTAGGAGTCACAGCACTTACAGCAGTACTCCAGGTAATGCTTCCAACATCACCAGAATCCCGTCCCTTTTTATGTTAAAGAATGTATTGTTCGATGACACCTATATGACATGTTTGGTTGCACTGTTTGGAGATCCTAGTTTGTCAGATAATTACATATGCAAGATTCATCAAACTCTTTCTGCATCCGTGCATGCAACAGTTGCCATGAAATGACATTTGCGAAATGCGACTTAACTGTTAGGAAACGTAATCTGACCTAAACTGTCATGATGATCCAGAGTTGCGTTAGTTGAATCGCGCGGAGTAGTTTGTTGCAGTGTTGCTGAATGGTTGGGATGTGTCTAAACTGTACACACAAACTGTTGCTCATCCTGCTAATGAGTTGATTGTGGGCTTGGGGAAGAACCTCGGTGACAACTCGGCAGTCCAATTGCTTTTGACATCAGGGAAGCAGTTTTAAATCTGGTGCTATTTTTAAATTTTAAAATAAATCTGTTTATTTGGTCAGTTATTTTAATATGGGAAAATCATGAAAAGAATGAAAATGTAAAACTGGGAATTTGAAACAAAATAATTGGAAACTCCAACAATAACTCAGTCTTAGTAATAAACTATTTTGTTTTACCTGGAAAGAAACAGAAAAGTTTCAAGTCAAGATCCAGTCATCAGGACAGTTTAATCGTTCTTAGGAAATAAGAAAACACAGGCATTCTCTGGTTTATATTAGATTTCATAATTTTTAACAACTGTGATTTTTAAAATTGTCAGAGAGTTAAAAAGTCCTATGCTTTGGAAAGTAATTGATAGAGTACACAAAATATTTATCACTCTCTTGTTATCAGAATTAGATGTTCACTTTGTCTGTAAATTTGAAGACCAGTTTATTTTCAAATATTTAACATTATACTTGTTAACAATCCTGCCAAGCTTTAATTTCCTTGCCATTTGGAAAGGTTAAACTATCTTTGATTCTTAAAATCTTGTATTGTCAGTGATGTGAAAGATGAGCAAGGATGTAGGCTCTCCCTGAGAATCAAATTGACACCAACTGTCATTTTAGCTTTTGAGCAACTTATGACACGCCTCCATCACATTGAGAGATGGGAATTGGACCTTGATCTTCTGACCCAACCATAATTTTAGGTGAGGTAGCCATGTATCACAATTACTCATGAAAATAATGGTTGATTAATTTTGATGTGTCCAACACTTTTAATAGAAGGCTGTATATTTAGATTATGGATCTTCCTCCCGTTCTGCATGCCAGTACCTCTTTTAGGTTCTAGTTCTTGCCTGTGGTGGTCATAGCGGCTTCAATTCTTTTGACCGCCTTCCATGCTTCATGTGCTTGCACATGGTGTACACTATTCTGGTTGTATTTAATCCCAGGCTAACTTTCCTCTCCCTCAGTAGGGCAATTTGAAAAATTGAGCATTCTGCCTCTGGGGTATTTCCTGACTGTTTATGCTGAAACCAACATCCCTGTTGTTATCACCTCAAGAATATTTGTTTAATGTTCCCATTCCTGGCATATCTGCTTCACAGACAGTAGTCCATTCAGAACTCAACCTAGGACCTCTCCAGTAGTATTCTACATATCCATTGCCAGTTTCCTTAAACGTGTAATTTCGGCATCCACCACATTAAAACAGTTAAGTACATTTGAAGTTAAATCTCATCTACATGTAAGCAACCCTCTCCAGTTGAGTCTCCATTGTGGCCTGTGGATCTTCAACATTTCATTACATTGTCCACGAGCTTTCTGTCACACCTCTACCAGCCATTACTTTAATCACAATGTCCCAGATCTTTGGAACTCACTTGGAAACGTTGTTACACTTTTGCCTTCCTTCAAAAACCTATGTTATTTTCTCCTTACAACCTACTCTGTCTCTGTCTTTACCTCTACCACCCCTATCACAATGCACAGGCTTCTTGATTCTGTTGCATCATTTGTAAAATACATAATTTTTCTAAGGGAAATTTGAAATGAAAATGCAGCCATTAGAGTAGTGATAATTTGCTTTATAACAAGCAAAAAAGTTGCTCTAAATTTCTTTAAAGGGCCATGTGCCAAATCACTCCAAATCAAAATTTTATTTACGTGTATTTGTGGTAAGTACTGATCAATTAATGTTGTTCCTCTTATTTTGTACCTGCTTATGGATGTCTTGACAAATATTTTGGTTCATGATGTAGGTTGAGACTGTCCCTCTAATAATGATATTTGTAAGTGAAATGTCAAACACTAAAAAGTGAATTAAATGCCCAAAGTTGCGTTCTTCAGTGGACTTAAAACACATCAGAAATGCAGTCTGAATGGGCAACCAGTTTATTAACACATTTTTTTTCCTGAAAAGTCATGGAAACTGGAGTAGGCCATTCAATTAGATTATTTCTGATTTGTGATTTGGTTCCACATCTTTATCATGCTCTATCTGAACCACATGCTTATAAGCCAAATGCTCATCATTTGACCTGACAATGGTGTGTGCGCATAATGTCTTGTAAAAATTGGATTTGAGTACAGTTAACAGTGGAAAAGTAATTACATAGTGCAGCCCAGCAGGAGGCCATTTGGCCTATTCACTCTGCTTCTTTTGGAGATTAATCCGGTTGGGTCCCCTGTTTCACTCAGTGTCTCATTTTCTTTCCTCCTCCCCACCCAAAATGCAATCTTCCCCTATTTCTGTGCAAGTTTTTGTCACCATCAAATCTTCTTCAATTACCGTTTGTAGGCTATTGTTTATTCTGTATCCACTACCCAGTGAGGTATCTCGTCTTTTCATGTAACTAATCCCTCATCCCTGAAGCTATTCTAGTAAATTGCTCTGTACCCTCTCCGAAGCTTTCATGTTCTCTCTAATGTATGGAGTCCAGATTTCTGTGCATTGCTCCAGCTGGGGCTGAGGTAGTCTTTTACATATGTTTAGCATAACCTCTTTTCTTTTCTACTCTGTCTTGAATTAAAAGAAAACAATCCCTTATGCTTTATTAATGATGTCGTTCACCTGTCTTATAACTTTCTAAAAATTTGTACCCAATGTAATGGACTTTAGTAATGCTTTTGACATCAGGGTAGTCATGAAGGGTGAGGTTGCATGAGATCCAGGGAGAGCTAGCTAATTTAGTTCAACATTGGCTGAATGGTAGGAAGCAGAGAGTGATGGTTGAAGGTTGTTTCTTGGACAGGAGGCCTGTGACTAGTGGTGTACTACAGGTCGATGCTGGGAACTTTGTTATTTACATAAATGACCTTGATGTGAATGTGCAAGGCATGATTAGTTAGTTTGCAGATGATACAAAATTAGGAGGTATCATTGATAGCGAAGAAGGTTATCAAAAATTACAGAGGGATCTTGATCAGATGGGGAAGTGGGCTGAGGATTGCCACATGTAGTTCAATACAGATAAGTGTGTGGTGTTGCACTTTGGAAAGTCAGGACTTATACAGTAAATGGTAAGATCCTGAGGAGTGTTGTAGAATAGAGGGACCTAGGAGTACAAGTACATAGATTGTTGAAAGCAGCATCATTGGTGGACAGGGTGGTGAAGAAGGGATTTAGCATGCTGGCTTTCATCAGTTGAGGCATTGGGTATCGGAGTTGCGACGTAATCTTACGTTTGTGTAAGTCGTTGGTGAGGCTGTACTTGGAGTACTGTGTATAGTTTTGGTCACCCTGTTATAGGAAAGACATAGTTAAACTGGTCAGTGTGCAAAGAAGATTTATGAGGATGTTGCCAGGACTAGTAGGCCTGAGTTATAGGGAGAGGTTCACCAGGATAGGACTTTATTCCTTGGAATGTAGGAGAATGAGGGGTGACCTTTATTGAGGTGTATAAAATCATGAGGGACATAGATAGGATGAATGCATAGTCTTTTTCTGAGGGATGGAGAATTGAAAACTGGAGGGCATAGGTTTAAAGTGAGAGGGGGAAGATTTAAGAAGGACCTGAGGGGTAACTTCTTCATGCAGAGAGTGGTGCATATATGGAATGGGCTGTCAGAGAAAGTGGTTGAGGCAGTTTCAATAGCAACATCTAAAAAACATTTGGATAGGTACATGGATGGGAAGGGTTTAGAGGGATATGGATCAAATGCGGGCAATTAGAACTAGCTGATTGGGCACCTTTGTCAGCATGGACCAGTTTGGGCCAAAGGGCCTGTTTTCATGCTGTAATGCTCTATGACTGTATGACTCTAGTGCTTTCACTGTAAGTAGCAGTTGCGTTTCAACAACTCAGGACATTTTAGGGGTCTTTAGTACCGTATCCACAAGTGTCAATACTTTCTATCATCTTGTTTCAGTTTGGTTGCACTGCACTTGAGACACACTTCAATGATTCAATTTAAAATAGCATCCCATGATCAATTAAGCAAAGTATTTAACAATATTTATTGGATCTGGATTTTCATCCTTCCTTCAAAAAAACTTTCAAATATTTCTTCATCACCTAACTCCTCCTTCTCATAGCATGCTGCTTTTAAGTGCATAACATTTAGTTGAATTAATAGCTATGTTCTCACTGAGCAATTTTCCAATTGTTTAGCAGATTTATGATACAAATAATCTTAAATTCCTATTGCATAATTATTGTATGTTATATACGTGCAAGTTTTTTTGAAGTAATGCAAGATGTGAGCTATTGACTAGTATGTTTCTGTGCAGTAACTTGTGTTATCAGCTGTAAACGCTGGCATCGTAGAAGTGAGAAGCAAGGGCAACAGAATCTGCGCTTCTGTGCCTCATTGGGGACAGATGTTTAGTATTGACATGTTCATGCAATAATGACGAGAACAAAAAATCTGACAGGAAAATGTTGAAATCGGTTGAGGGGGAGTAAGACAATGGTACTTGCCAATCAACATGTATACTGATTTAACTTTGAATCAGTTATTGTAACAAAATCCTGGGAGTGCAAATATGATTAGATGACCTAAAATGTATTCTTTGCCGGATAAGGAACGCATTTATGGATTGGCTAGTGTTATGTGACCATACTGAGATAACAAGGAGTCTGTTTTTAAAA